ATCTTGCACTCCCGCAGGAGTGTCTGTGCATTACTCAAGGTGCACTGAGCCGTGTATTGGAGAGGTTTTTTCCTGTGGCAGTGCAGGGAGGTCAGGGTGTGATGTGTAACAAAAACCAGAGGAGCAATGTGCGTGGTCTTACCAACATGACTGATGTGTGTGGTTTAATTGCTGCATAAAATATACAGAAGCACTTGAGGTCATTTAGAAAAGTTGTGGTGTTTACAGGAAAGTAGAAACTGAGCTTAAAAAAATAATTACAATTTTTTTACTCACTTTAATGACTATACAGAAGAGCCTTTTAAATACATCCATGCATGGGTTTTAAGCATTCATTCCACATCGGTATTTCACCTTTTTCCTTAAGTGATTTCTATATTCCTACTAACCAACAATCATTTTGTCTGAATCTCATTTCCTCATAATAGCAAACCCATCAATCTCTGCTTTATTAAACAGGGAAGCATGCTTGGGAGCCAGAGTGCTCAGATTTGATAAAAGATGTTATGCAAACCATTGATTTTAATTTACAGCAATATCCACTTCTTTCATTATTAACAGCTTTGAATTACTGTGACTGAATAATTAACAAATATTCCTACTTCGTGATAGATTACTTAAAAGGCAGATGTATAGAAGCATAGCCCAGATGAACATCCTTCCTGCACCCCCAGTGATGCATATGCCTCTTTAATGTTCCCCAGGGGAGCAATGCAACATGGCATGAGAGAAATACTCTTTGGAGAAATCCCCCAAACACTTCCAAAACTATTATCACAGCAAATGCTTCATCGACAAGCGTGCCAGTGTGTGTTCCTGACCTGCTGGCCTCTGTTCAGAGCCCTGGCTGTGGCCAGCCAAGTCAAATGATGCAGAACAGGATGCCTGTGCTTTCAGGGCAGGGGTGCCTGTGTACACTGGCTGAAGCTGAATCACCCCTCAGTCTTTGAGCAGGGCAGCATCTGGTGACATGTGGCTCCGTGCCAACCCCCTCCCAAGGCACTGCATGGTTGAGTGAGAAGCCCCATCCACAGCTCACCACCCTGGCAAGGTTTGGGGATGAAGGAGGTGTCGCTCCCCCTCTGTACACACTGCAGAGTGTGGCTGCAAGGTGCTCAAATAAAGCAGTGATGGGAATTGTTTAGGGACAGCAGAAGGATGGGCAAAGCTAGATAAGACAAACCATAAATCTAATTCAGCCTGGCTCTGTATAAACTAAACCATCATCGTCCTCTTTACCCCTGTGCCAGCATGTGTGTGTGCCTGTGCTCACCCAGGACAAGGAACATCTCTTGTACGGCACTGTTCAGTGTGGTTTGACATTTTGTTTCACAGGTGATGCCACAAAGCAATGTTAGCCTATTGTGAAGGCTTATTTAGACAGGTACAATTACAGCTTGGCAGTCAAGGTGTCTTTGATCCCAGCATCCTCATTGTTCCTGAGGTTTTTCATCCCACCTGGTACTCAGCTAGAAGGCCTGCGGCTGAGACCTCCCTTTGAAGTTCTATTCCATTGCACTTTAATTTTCATGGTGTCTTCTGCTACTGAATGTTATTAATGAAGGCTCCAGCATCGGGTTGTGCTCAAAATACTGATGCTTGGCAGGTGTCTGACCTTCCCCAGCTGTGCAGCAGTGACCTGCAGGAGTCGGGCAAGCAGTGGGCACAGAGCCATGTGTGCACCTCTGGCAGAGGAGCATCACCCTGTGCATCTGTTGTGCATGGTGCCCATAGGGAAGGACCCGCTCCTGGCCACTCATCCTTTTCTGAAGGACTTGTCTGCAGTGCGGGTTCAGGTGTCAGCAACTCCCACCTTCCTGCCTTCCACAGTCTCCAGTGCAGGATTTGCTTCTGAGGAAAATAAGGTCTTGCAGATCAGCTGTATGTGGGGATGGCTGGGAGAGAGGGACAATGATTTCTAGCAGGGGAAGAAGGGACACCTATTCTAGGAGCAGCCCTGTGGTCAGTTCTTTAGGATGTCTTCGAATTTCAGTGTTAGAATAAGGAATTAGATGCCAGTTACTTTTAATTTTGAGGAAAGAATCTCTGTGTGGAATTTGGGGTGCTCGCTGGTGATTAAGAAACAGAGAAACTGGTTCTATTTGCTTGGTTTTGCGTTTAGCATGTTAGTATGAGACCAAGAAGGAAAGCTGCCCAGAGATAGTGTTCACCATGTACTGAGAGCTCAAAAGACAGACCAAAGAGAAGAAGGCCAAAGAATCCTCCACAAGTTGTTAAACACAAACCCACTGTGGTGCAGACCTCTGCGGCATGAGAGAGCATGCAAAGGTGGTACTCCTATATGTGTGTAGGTATTTCGTTTCCCACAGGCCACTGTCAGAATGATGGATTATGCAGTTCCTTTTGATCAATAGGAATTTTATTCTGTCAGATGGGAATAAGTGTGACTTGGGCCAGTGTAGGCAAATTGCAGGCAGCAGTTGCAGTGTAATTGCAAGAACTACAGGCACAAAATCCACTTGTTGAAAGAGTTGTCCAAGAACTAATGAGCCAAGGTATCATGAAACAGCGCTCTCCAGTAAAAACTGGGAAAGACACATTTAGTTCAGGCAGAGCCTCGTCAACATTTCTGCATACACTGAAGTATTTGCCTGGAGCTGCCAGCTTCTTGGAGCATTAATTGCCCTCACTGAAGTTGTGCCAAGTTCAGTAGACACCTTTTTCTAATGAAGTGCAAACTTTCAGATCCTAAATGAAAACACATCTTGCCTTTGCCTTTCTCCTATCTTAGCATCTGTAATTGGCTTGCACAAAAACAAGTGCTGGGTGAAAACCCGTGGCTATGTCTGACTGCTTCAGCATAACCCCAGAGACCTTCCTACCTTAAGCAGGACTATTTACTGACATTTGCACTGATAACCAGCAGGCAAAAGAAGCAGTCATGCCTTTACCTTTGGGTTTGGAACATTTATTCTGATACAGAAACCCACCTCCTTGCCTGATACCCTTCAGCCTTAGACACCCATTCCCCCTTGTCTGTACCTCTGCAGCCCACTTTCAGAAGGCCACGTGCCTGGCAGCACTAAGGGACATTTTGCCTTAAAACCTTGTAGAGTTGTGTCTACTGTATGTGACATTTATTAATCTTCTAGTTTTCAAACAGAAGATTATTGGAATTAAAAGCTACCTGTGCTTTCACAGGTGTGAAAGTACTTGGTGTATGGACATACATTTATGAAGCTAGGATATGCCAGTTGCCTTGAACCTCTTTCCTATTAGCCATATAATTGCACTTGGTTTTGAGCCTGCATGTGTCTGCCTAGTGCTATGGTTTTCTATGAAATTAGTGTGAGGCCAGGGCATCTCTTTTCCTGTTCTTTATTTGCTCATGAACACCCTCATCTGTCTCCCAGTGATGTATTGCCTTCTAAAACATTGAAAATCAAGAAATTCCTAAGGTATTGTTCATACTCAGCATGAAGAATTCAGCCTCAGCAGGCTGCGATCTGACCCACTGGTGCAGTAGGCAGTGGGCAAAAAAAGTTGCACTCAAAGTGGCGTTGCTTTTAGGGCAAAAAATTGAGACTATGATTAAGTGGATGTTCTACAGCGCAGACTCAGGGTGAAGGCAGTTCCTAGAAGCTTATTAACCGGTAGCAGAGGCAGGACTTCAGCAGTCTCTAATCTTTTTCAGCTTTGCCGAAACCAGGACAATTCAAAGGGATAAAGTGTAAAAGTCTGGGCTGTATTTAGTAAATAAGAAATGACCCTGGGGGAAGTCAAAGTAAATCAGAATAACAGTTCAATCTCTCAGTTACCTGCACGATCTCACAACATTAATCCTGGGTGCTGAATGCCAGCTCTGCCTGCTGTGAAGAAATTTCCCTGCTGAATTAGTGTCAAATGCTGTTCTTAATGCCAGTGTATGGACAAATACCCGTTCTCACCAGTGTAAAGTCATAGGGAAAGTTACACAAGATGGCAAAGGTTTAGAATCATAGAATCGTTAGGGTTGGAAAGGACCTTAAGATCATCTAGTTCCAACCCCCCTGTCGTGGGTAGGGACACCTTACGCTAAATCATAAGGATGCATTCTTTATCATCATTTAGGGTGCATTTTGTTCTGGATTCATATTTGGAAATACCTTTAAAAGAAAAGTGGCTCAGAATTTTGTTATAAAACCTATTTTATGAGGAATTGAACTCTATTTATTGTGTGCTGTGCGTTACCTCCCTGCTTTGCAGCCTTCAAAAAACCCAACTTTTTTGAGACATTTGACAAGATATTTGTAGAAATGCAAATTTAAAATAAGTCCAACATTGTGTTCTTGTGTTATCCTTCCTTGTTCTTTTCTTTCTTGTCATTAAATGAAAGAAATTACGGGCATCAGGGTAGAGGGATGTCAGGTTCCTTTTAAAACTTTATTTTCTTTTCCCTAATTGTGGAAAAAGAAAAACGAAAAAGAAAAAAAAAGCCAGACTGCCTTTTGTTCTGTGTTGCAGAGTGAAAGGAAGAGAGAACAAGGGAAAAGATTACATAGATTTCAAAATTGAAGGTGTAAAATGCTCATTTTGAGGAAAACCTTGAGAAGAATGGGAAAATGCAAGAAAACCAAAACACTTCTGCAGAGAAAATAACTTTATTTATCGAGGTGAAAAGAGAATGAAAATGTTTTCAACCAAGGCTCTGAACTGGAAGGGACTTTCAGAAATCAGGCACAGTTCACTGCAGCCCTCAGAAATGGGCTCCTTCACTGCACATGCTGGTGTACCCATCACTGGGAGAGCTGCGTGGCTGCGGGTGTCCTCTGCCTGTAGCCTTTCTGCTGATGAACACAAGCCTTGCAGCCTTCCCCATAAACACAAAATCTCTTTATTAATGGTCCTGGTGGGAAGGCTGCTTTGTTGTGTGGGGATGCTGCTCTCACACTCACAACAAGAAGTGCCCAAGCACCTTAGCACTGCCCACGCAACCCTCTCCCAGTGCCACTGCAGCTTCTCTTCTTTTCTCTTCTCTTCTATTTCTGTGTGCTCCCCAGTTCGAGTGAGGGCTTTGGCGTAGCGGAGAGGATTGTGCTGCTCACCTTCATCTCCGCCGTTATACTGATGGCCATCCTGGGGAACCTGCTGGTGATGGTGGCCGTGTGCCGGGACAGGCAGCTCAGGTGAGCCCACCCAACCAGGGGGAAATGCCCATCTAACAGGGCCCATGTCCACAGCTGAGGGCATAAACTGTCATGACAAGGGGTGTCTTTGTCCATACATTGCACAACTGCGATGTCAGACCCACACTGCCTCAGTGCCTCCTCATTCAGATTTACACTGGGGTGGTGGGATCGTTTTAGTATCCATACTCTACATTTTTAGCACTCTCAATGTAAAGAAACTGGGTAGAACAGTGAAAAACGGAGCTAATTCCTTGGAGAAGCATCTTGCCCTCTACCCCTCTTCCATCTCAGGTTTCCTAATGAGGCTATAAAAAAGCCATGCAGACCAAGGCCTGTGGCCATTGTGCTGCACTGCTGCAGCTTGGCAAAATGCTGCCAGTGATTTTGGAGGGTGGGGGAGTGTTTCCACAGGCACAACTCCTGTCTTGATGCTTTGCTGCTACCCTGGGAGTTGTCAGACCAACCTCAGGAGCAGAGTGAGATATTCAACAGCCTCTATTCATATTCTGCGTGGGTTTTTTAATGGATTTAATTCTATTTTATTGTTATGATTTAAAAAAGTACTCTTCAAGTTAAAATTACAGCTTCAGTCTAGATTCTTCTCCGTGCTTTCTGGAAGGATTTTCTCAATTTACAAGTTGAAATAAAGTTCCCCTTCTCCACCCCAAACTCTCCAATGCAAGCTGTGAGGCGGAGCCACATGCAGAGGCCTGCGAGCATCTATTTGCCTCTTCAGTGTGAGCAGAAAGATGTGTTTATGCAGGGAGCATGATGGATATTAAGCTATAAAACCCAGGAACAAGCCAGCAGTGACCATTAAAATGAGGACTACATTATGAAGAACCATTTAGTGTGATTAAGTGAATTAGACCCAAACAAGAGCTTAAATCTCTGTCCACATGTAAAGGATGCTACACTGAAACTATTCTATGCCCTAATTTTGTGATCTGTCTTGCAGGAAAATCAAGACCAATTATTTCATTGTTTCCCTTGCCTTTGCGGACCTGCTGGTGTCAGTGCTGGTGATGCCATTTGGAGCCATTGAGTTGGTTCAGGACAACTGGATCTATGGGGAAATGTTCTGCCTTGTCCGGACATCCCTCGATGTCCTGCTCACCACAGCATCAATCCTGCATCTCTGCTGTATTTCACTGGACAGGTATGAACAGTAGAGCGTAAAGAGTAATTACAGTTGCTTTAAGCTTTTTCAGTGTTGTTGCTCGTCAGCAGTAGCCAAAGGGAAATATGAATCTGCTGGGAACTGTAGAGCAATAAATTTCTCTCCATAGCTGATTTTGGCAGGAGGTCTCTGAATCCTCATGAGTATAGAAAAACTTGAAAAGAATGAGATTTGTATCGGTAGAGGAAGCCAGGTTCTCAGCTGCTTTGCAGCACAGCTCTGTTTGCATTAATGACCCAACGTGGCACATTCTCATTTTAAGAAAAGACACCTTAAAGATGGATCCACGGGCAAGTCCAGTGTGTTGTGCACAGGATGCTGTTTTAGCAGGGATATTGCCCTCCATTGCAACATCAGGTGCTGCTTACTGCCAGGGGCTGTGGGCAAGGCTTGGCTGGTGCATGGCTTCATGTGTTGTGCTGAACCCTGTCTTCCCAGGGACAAAAACCATTACATTATGTGTCTTTCTCTCTCCTGTCAAAAGAATATTTGACATATCTTCCAAATACTATCAGAACTGCTCTTCCTGCTGCTAGCAGCCATACAGGCAGACAAAAACCAGTATTACTAAATGACATTGAGACATATATTACTAGATTATATGGAGAAAGAGCAAAAAGAGCACACACAACCCCCCTAAATTTTATGGGCTATTTTTCTAAGGCACCCATTTGCACATCTGTATTAGTAAAGGCTACCGAGGATAGTAAAACTGGTGAAAAATATGTATGGGCTCTGTGGAAAATATTGAAAACTTCCTTTTCTTTAGAACTTTTATTTCAAAATTAAGATGAACCTGAAGTCTTTAACAATTTATGGCAAATAATTCTGGTTTACTGTTGTTTGCAGCTTTTCAGGGTAAATGGCAGAACTTCCCATATAGAGTAGGAAGAGTTTGCACAAGGTAAATACTTAGAATAAAACATTTTGACTGGCTATTCTAATAAGCAATATTTGCAGCTTTCATTTGAGCTGTGTGCTGAGATTTCAATACCTTTAAAAATGCTATTACTTATTATTACTAATATGGCCAAAATAACCATAATCATTCTCGTCGTCATGACAGCTAATATTTAAATAACACCTTTCATCCAAAGAGTCTGTACACAGCCAGACTTCAAAAGGTGCTTGATTAACTTCTCCACTGATGGGCAGCATGCCTTTGTTGTAGGACAGAGGGGCACCGGCACAGGCAGCATTGTATCCAGAGAGAAGCTGATGTGCAACAGCTACAGTGAGTTTCCTAATCTGGAAGTTTAGATGGCTGGAATGCAAATAGAGGAAGCTCATTATCTTAAAAACATTTGCACTTTGAGCCAATTACCAGTAAAGCAGATGTTAGGCACTGCGCTCTGTATGTGGCCTTGTTACATGAAATGTTGGAGTTTGATTCTCCAGGCTCTTAATTAAACAGGGGGCTGTGGAGAGAAGGGGATGTGAAGGGAAAATGTTGTTTTACCCCTCTCCTTCACCTCCTGATCTCTGACAACTGCAGGGATGAGAAACCTCCCATGTGGGGTGCACAGAAGGAAGACTCCCCCCTTTCTCCTGCCTGTGCTACCCTCTTGCAGAGCCCTGCCATGCCAGGAGCTCTTTCTACTGCTGCCTATCCCCATCAGTCCCCATGCTCCTCAGACAGCCTTGTCTGGGTGTGGCAAAGGGGTTGGGGACAGTCTTGGGTCTAGGGCTGTTGAAATGCATGGTTTAGAGAGGATTATAGCTCTACTCTTCCTTCTATGCTCTTTTATTCTCTGCCCAGGGAGTCCTGAATTCTCTCTGCTGGATGCAGAGCTCTGTAGCAATGGGTGAGCGTTGCTGCCTGCAGTAACACGTAGATAATTCCCCTTCTTTTGGACAGAGGGAAATAGAGAGATGAATCTGGTGACCCCCACACCATTCTCCCATCCCAGGACAATACTTTAATGAGTAGAATACTACATGGAAGAAGGGAATGGCTCTCTTGAAAGAAAGCAGGAGCTGTAACTGTGCTTTGTAGGAAACTAAACCTCTAAGCTTGTCCTACATGTCTTCTGAGGAGGTTTTGGGAAGGTGCAGTCCCTCCTGCACTGGCATCTGAGGGTGGTGGGCACTGCGCTTGAATGAGTCCCATATCAGCATCATTCCATTTAAGTGCTCGTCCTTTTGTGATAAAATTATTCTGCTTTTAAAGATTTCTGTTTACCAAGTGTATATTTGAACCTGTTGCTTCCTATTTCCTATAAGAATTCTTCCTATTTCTTCAGGATTAAAGTGATTCTTTAAAATAGAATGAAAAATGGACACAGTGGCTAAAAAGAAACCCAAACCACAAACTCACCAATCCTGGTGCCAAACTGATAGGGGCAAAAAAGTGTTTAGAACTCTGAATTTGAAGGTCCCAAGAGCTGGAGATCATCCTAAGTGTCACAGCAAAAAAAAAAAAAACAAACAACAACCAACCAACTTTAAGAAAATGCCTGTAGATTCATCCTTATAAATGCACTGACAGAGAGAAATCCCCCAATATTTGCCATGCCCTCGGTATTGGCTATGGTAGACTAAGCAGCAGTCAAAATGCTTGAAAAGAAGCTGAGGATGAATTCATTAATGAGTGCTGGGTGTGCTGAAAGCCTCTGCACATCGAGGGGTGAGGAAGCAGAGCTGCCTGGGATACAGAAGCACTGCGGCAATCTCTGTGACAGCTGACAAACCTGAAAGCACCAGATGTCAGGGAATTACTTCAGGACACACAAATGCTCTTTCTCTTTCACACGTGTTTACCATACATGTGCTGTTCTTTGCTGTCAGGCAGAGAGAGAGAAAAGGTTCTCCAAGCTGGTAGCTGGATGCAGGCATGGGTAATTATCACAGCCTTTATCTGTTGCTTGCTGCTTTCATGCTGAAGAATGACACCTCTGCAGACTAGCTGCCGAGCTGATCTAAATTTTAGGTAATTCTTTGGTACATTGTTTTTCTTGTTTCTCTTCTCAAAATGGCTTTATTGAGTGCTTGTCAGAGTAATGACCACCACACAATACCATTAGCAGAGCACTAACAGCAGCATCCCCGAGACGGACTGCTTCTCTCTAAAGCACTTGAATTTGCCATAGAAAGCTTTCTCTGTCTTCTAATCTCTGCAGGGCATATATACCTCTCCCAGCCATCCGGTCTTGCTGTAGGAGTTCATCTTTGCCACTCACATGAAAAAAGCCAGGTTTTCATCTTAGATATTTCAAAAGGTGTATTTCCTCTCCCAGTACAAGAAGGCACAATTATGTCTGTATTTGCTGACAGTGAGTGTCAGCTGAGAGAGAAAGCCCAAGATCTCTCTGTCTCAGGTAGAGTGAAGAATCTCAAGTCAGCTGCGTGGCTTTCATCACTTTCTATTTGATCAGACACTTCAGTATGAATCTGACTGAGTGCTAAGGCTGCTGGGTTCTCCCAGAGCCCAGTGTCAAGTTCAGACTCCTCACCATGGTGCTCGAGACAGACCAAGGTGCCTCCTGTAGCACTGGACTGGCTCTCCTGAACTGCTGTGAATGAAACTATTATGAAGGTGGGTCATTCCCTAGTCATCTTCCTCTCTTAAACCTGTATTTCTTCCTCTTACTGATTGACTAATTAACATGATTTTCAAAATACAATTTAGCTGTGGCCTGCTTGTGTCCTCCTGAAGTTTAACATCCACCTGGACATCATCCTTGAGCACAAAAGGAGTCCTAACTTGACCAGGAATTTCTATGCTAATTCCTGAGCTCTTTCAAGTCCCAAACAGTCTATTCAAAAGACTTTCTTCCTGAATTATCACTGTATATGTTATTTTACATTTCTGCAGTGCTTGCTCACCGGCATGGTCTGTCAGCCTGATTAGGTAAATCAGAAAACAGGTTGTATAAAAGCAATTGCTTTTCACCATGCAAGCAGCAGTCGTTGATGTCTGCAGATCCAAAACCCAGTGCCCCTTAGCTAGCAACATTGTCAGGTCTAAACATTCACAAAGACCAATGGCATTAATTTTTTAACCTACTGGGCCTGTTTAATAAACCATTTTCCAATTGAAATGAAACATGAGGTCTTTTCCTCTGTCTTTCAGAGGAGGCATTTGGGTAGAAGAAGTCAGGGAGAATGTAGGCACTTCGATTTTGGCTCTTAACACATCCCTAAGGATGTGCCATGGTTCATTCCTTGCTGCATTGAGGGAATTGAGTGTACTATCAGCAAGTTTGCTGATGACACTAAGCTGGGAGGAGTGGCTGACACGCCAGAAGGCTGTGCTGCCATCCAGCGAGACCTGGACAGGCTGCAGAGTTGGGCAGGGAATAACTGGATGAAATATAACAAGGGAAAGTGTAGAGTCCTGCATCTGGGCAGGAACAACCCCAGGTTCCAGTATAGGTTGGGGAACGACCTGCTAGAGAGCAGTGTAGGGGAGAGGGAGCTGGGGGTCCTAGTGGACGACAGGATGACCATGAGCCAACACTGTGCCCTTGTGGCTAAGAAGGCCAATGGCATCCTGGGGTGTATTAGAAGGGCGGTGGTTAGTAGGTCGAGAGAGGTCCTCCTTCCCCTCTACTCTGCCCTGGTGAGACCCCATCTGGAATATTGTGTCCAGTTCTGGGCCCCTCAGTTCAAGAAGGACAGGGAGCTGCTGGAGAGAGTCCAGCGCAGGGCAACCAAGATGATTAAGGGAGTGGAGCATCTCCCTTATGAGGAAAGACTGAGGGAGCTGGGTCTCTACAGTTTGGAGAAGAGGAGACTGAGGGGTGACCTTATTAGTGTCTATAAATATATAAAGGGGGAGTGTCACGAGGATGGAGCCAGGCTCTACTCAGTGGCAAACAATGATAGGACAAGGGGTAATGGGTGCAAACTGGAACACAAGAGGTTCCACTTAAACTTGAGAAGAAACTTCTTCTCGGTGAGGGTGACGGAACACTGGAACAGGCTGCCCAGGGAGGTTGTGGAGTCTCCTTCCCTGGAGACATTCAAAACCCGCCTGG